TCAGCTTTCTCCATCACTTCTAGAACGTTCTGCACCCAGTCTCTTCTTTATTTAACCAACGGACACGTTCGTTTACCACATTTAAATTCTAATAAGCCGATTATGATAACAGATGCGTGTGGCCCATATTTTAAACTTCATTTCCTTCCAATTTCCAGCCGAAATATTAAAAAACCTTTATCTGAATACGTTAATGACATGAATATAAAATGCAAGTAACTTGGTGAATGTAGCCTGTAGTCCATTTATTTCAGTGGTAGAAATGATATATTAGTAAAAAATACAAAAAATTGTATATCCACGAAGAACACGTTTTCTTCATTTATTTTTTTCCCTGGTGTAATGCAAGGATAGATAAAGGAACCGGGGGGGTGGGGGGGAAGAAAAAGGGTCACTATTTGAGCTGCCATACTAAAAAATAAACCTCACTTATTTCGAAGAATATATGTAATAAATGTACATTACATCTGTTCTTTATGGCCACATGGTTCTGGCTGCAACCCATACATTATTACTTCCGCCTCACGTTCTAAATATATGCAACAATGTAACAAGTCGACCTTACGATTCACTGCCGCTATATTTCTCTTTCTTTGTACTGTCTGTCTGAGAGGTGAATTGACTCGACCTTGAGGCTGTGACGTGCTGAATGCTGTCCTAAAAACATTAGCCCTTACTAAAAATGTTCCCATTGGAACACACTGCATGCTATATGATACTATATACAGGTGTGTTACCAATGATCCGACTAATGTACTAAACTCAATTTTTTATTTATTTAGTGTTCTGTCTGACGAACAGGATCCTTCCATCCTTTTCTCGGACTGGGACCTGTTCATATACGTTCTTGGCAGATGATCCAGAAGTGGTTCGCTATTGCCTTCTTCTGTGTGTGAATGGAGTAATTGTTGGGATGCCACGGAGAAACCGTGGAAGCCCCCGGAGGAAAACTCCGTGTTGCCTAGACCACGGCCTTGCCCAACACAAGTTATAAATTCGGGCACCGTATACTGTATATCAGATCTGTAGTTTACCTTCTGGATTGGTATCTATTTGAATGTGGAGTAAATTCTCAGCTCAGACGGACATTACCTTCTTGCGTTAATGAGAATCTCAATCCGATATTTTTTAATCAGAAGATATTATTTTTTATGCCATGGAACCTCAAAAGAAACAGTCTCTAAGCTTAGTAGCTTGCTGTTGATGTAAAACTTCAGTTTTATTAATGCGTTGTTTGATTAAAATCAGTTCTGAACGCATTTAATACCTTACGACAATATCACAACGCTAATTAAAATCTGCAATATCGTGCTTTCAGATTCCCAGATTCTCCCCAAGTCGGATATACACAAAGCTTAATGAATATAAACCAGGGGTGGAGAAACTAAGGCCCAGAAAGTAATGGGATGCTACTGGAGACTTCATATGTATTTCTTACTTTATTTAATAATTCTTCTTAAGTAAACATGGTGCCTTTGCAGGTTATATAATTTAAAATGCAACCGAAAAACAGTAACGTACTACGGTACGAATATTAAATCAAAAGCAGGCTCAACGAAACTCATTGCCCTGATCATGAAGGCATGAAATACCACTGAAACGTAGGTAAAATTGTATCAGACTACACGGCGCTACAACCCAGAAGACAACGTCGTGAGAACCTCAAATCCGACACACGTCTCCATGTTTGCGATCATTAAAACACGAACAGCGGAAACAAAATTGTACATACCTATTTACGATACAACTGTACACAAAATAACACGCATTATTCCTTCCACGACATATAAATCTTTATAAAGTGAAATAGCAAAATAGCAGTCAGTAGTTGGAGTTTACATGAATAAAACAGAAAATAATAAAAAATACTAGAACGGAATGCAATTTTTTTTACAAAGGGTGATGGAAAAAATGTTCACCATTTACGTGAAAGGGCAGAGGAACTAACACGTTCTACGGCAAAGCATAATTTAGTTACATATGTGTAATCATCGAGGTTTTGCCTTTTAGGAAAATCATCTAAAAGGGAAATTATACATTAAAAATTTCTCCCCAGTAGCAGCAGGCCATGTTTCTTAGCTGACGTTGACTTAGGATGCTGGAGGAAGTACACTGCAGAAGCTAGATCGGTAGGGTTTCCCGGTAGGTTGCCCCGAGGGGTAGTATCATTAAGGAGGAGTAATACACAAGTCTTCCACATCTGTTCCACGTACATTTTCTCTCTCATCTGCTAAATCTGCCCTATGTCAGTCTCAACCTCCGTGGACGGTCTGGATCATTAAGGGAACATTCAACTTATGATAACCTGCTGGCGGAAAATGTATACTTCAGCTTTAGGAAGCTTAGCCTTAAACCGAAAGTAATTGTATGTACTTTGAAGTATTAAGGGCTCTGACTTAAACAGCAGTTTACTCATATAGATCTTTTATAGACCAAGACACGTACAAGAATCTCTGTTACTCATTATAAAAAGGTAAAGTTAATTAAGTACCCCACTAATAAGATTTAGTTCTACACATTCTTAAACTCGGCATAAGAACAGAGGTTAATGGTTGGTTTAACGTTCCGACTGCTTCATCTCAAGTACAAACTTGACATGAAATTTTATTAACACCAGCAATTATTTGGATGTTGTGGCAAACAGAATATCACTATTCCTGCCGGTAATTGAACCCTTATACACTTTTTCCAATGACCTGTTCACTTACGACATACAGACACATTACTGTGATGTAAAAATATATAAACAAAAGCAAGTAATTAGCAAAAACATGTAAATACAATAGAAAGATTTTGCATTATAGGGAGTGAAGCATAGCATACGGTTCCAACATCACAAAGCCTGTCAGATAATTAATTAGACCGATTTGTTGGTTGGTTAGTTACATGATCCCGATAGTAGAATAATCTGGCGGTTATAGCTGGCAAGTGCTAGCTGTAAGTTCCTGGCGACATTAACTGGACATACTAACTACAAACACTTCTTACAACTAACAAATAAACACACAATTATTTGTCTTTATATTTGGTGAAACTTGTCAATATTGCATCTCAGAATATGGAAAGTTACAATTTTGATACCCCAGAGAACAAAGAGAGATATATTTTAATAATTTAAAAAAAAACATAAAAATGCTTTTCCGTCTTTCATACATTCTTTTAGTCTTTATGCACTTTTGCCCGCAGGTGTCGAGGTACACATTCATTCATTTAATCCTATTAGACTTTTGGTAGGACTCCTTAAACGAGTGATCAGCCCGTCGCAAGGCCTCTACCTACACAGGACAACACAACACAGAAAGACGCGGACAAACATCAATGCCCTGAGTGAGAATCGAACCCACGGTCCCAGTGCCCAAGCGCACGAGGTCCACACCTCAGACCGCGTGGCCACTGCGACCGGCCATTTAAAATACTTTAATCCACATCACAAATATATGATACGTACCAAGTGCGCAAATCCGCTAAAAACAGACATTTGACGCAGCGGATTATCGTGTCAGCACGTCCGGGCGAGTTCCTTAATTACTAAATCAGGTGCATCTCATAAATGCAAGCAGATGCTACGTCACTGGTATATAAGCCATGGCAGGTAGATCCAGTCCGCTGGATGTTATGCATATGAAATGACGGATCGGAGGGCAGACAATACTACGTGACACGCAACGCAGTAATTACAACAGAGAACAAGGCTGATGGAGACTTATTTGAAATTCAAAGTACCGGTTGCAAATCTGTTTGTAGCGGCAAAGCAGTAGCGAGAGGAGTGTGTGGAAGACTTTATATTGCAAAGGTGATGAACACCAGAGAACCTGCAGACACGTGCATAAGCGTGCCGGAAGGCATTCAATTTTATAATCACAGATTTACGAAGGAAGTCTTCACTTTTAACTTCGTCGTTATTATAAATCATGTTACCAGTAAGAAATATTATAAGACGCCTGAAAAAGTTATTTCTTTTGGTTCGGTTCAGTCTGCAAGCAACTGCTAGCTGGATCACTCCAAAGCATCTCTTTGAACACGTTTCTTATAGATAAGTTGCCAGAAATAACTCTATCTGAAACGTCGGTAAGCTTCTACCAGACTCATCGCTCTGATGATGGAGACAGCAAGAACCTCTGAAACGTCGGTAAACTTCTAACATACTACACTGCACAACAACCCAGAAGACAGCCATGTTCATATTGAAAGAAGTTTGTACACTCCTGTCTAATAAAACAATGTTGTTTAAACTCGACTTCACCCTCTTGCACCCTCTTTCCACAATCTTTTTTAACCCTCCTTCAGCGCCCCCGAAAGCGGAACGCGGCAAAATTAAGCTCTTTCAGCACCACACCCATTCACAGATAATGAACCAAAGGAATGTACAATCAACTGCACTGTGCGTGCGTGCGTGTGTATAATGTTGGCATACAAACCCGCGGAAATACAAGGACTCCAGGTAAATGAGATGATCTCAGTAGAATGGCTCACAGTAGTTTATCAACTCACACAGCCGGAACACCAAGTCCAATTAAATTTCATATTTAAGCTCCTTCACGATGAGAGTAAGAATATTAAAATCAACAAATATTTTTCACCATTTAGTTAAGGATAATTTATTTTCTAATCTGCCCAGAATTTTAACAAAGAATTGTAGTTTACGTATAGCTTTGTTAAATACGTGAAGAAGGTTCTTTATTAAGAAGCTAATAGTAGCTCAACTCTCCTTTATGGAGCCCTGAGGTTTATGTGTGATTTGAATCTTCCGCAGCGACCAGCCATGTAAGATGGTTTAATGGATAAAACACCAGCAGTTCGAGAACCATCTTCGTCCTCGTCCTCAGGGTGCTGAAGTACTTTTGTACCCAAGAGAAAATGAACATTTGAACATTTTACACTTTGAGAGAGACACGGTTAAGGGTGACGCAGAAAATCTGTAGTGGACCCAATCGGTATCGAACAAAAGTCTTCCTGTATAAAAGGCGATTACCTTACCATTTTAAAAGTTTTGCCCTTACTATTATGGTTACTTGTCATGACGCCAACAGAAAACCACGTTGATCCCCACAGAGAGACAACTTGCACAGCCATTTCTACAGGAAACTGCTTTTAGTCAGAGTATATTTATGAAGTTTAAATTTTAATATACGACACACGTACAACTTCAATGAAACAACCTAATTATTTCGAACACAACAGGTAGCTAGGGAACGGTTAAGTAAAGTTTGAACTTTCCATAACAATGACTAAAGTTACCTAGCAACCAATAAGCATACATCTGACAAGACTGCTTTCTATGCATATGTATGTTTTGTACGGCAGATTCAACAAAGGAATGAGGAACCTCTTCCATAAGAGCAAATAGATTCGAACAGCAGAGAAAAAGATGAAGTTAGGAATAAAGGCGAACGTTAATGAGCAAAGGAAAGCAATTTTCTATCTCCAGTTTTGTCTTGTTTTATCTTTGTCTTCTTAATAAACACGCTGATGTGTTCACAGTTCTTCCTTAACTTTAATTTTCCAGAAGCATTCTTTAGGCAGACGTTCCTGGAACGCTGAAGTTCGCACTATCAGATATCCCTTTGATCATGTGAGAAGGTAAAATGACAATACATAATAGCCAAGTCAAACAGAGTTAATAGGGGTTTATAAACAAGACATCATCTTTCAGTGTAGGACGTTGAATATAAAATACACTACAGATGCTGGATTTGTAAGGTTTCAGTTCTTGAAGATAGAGATTGTATGCTTCTCCAAAACGTTGGTATCGACCTAGGAGTCGACACGGCGTTAATACCCAGGAGAAAAACATCGATATCTTCACCGCCGTAACAATTTCAAACCTCATTCTCTCGGGTCCAAGATACTAATATCTCCACTTTGTTTTGAGCATTTTCTACGAGCTATCAAAATATGACAATAAAAACTGAGAAACTATAGGAAAAAACCCACGAAACTTGCATTATATGATTCAGAATTTTGATTTTTAAAATCAAACTAACAAAAATTATTATCATTACAAATGGGTTTTTGGAGACCATAGGAAAAACACCAAAGAAAGAAAATTCTATATCACGTAATTAGAAAAAAATTGGTTTACAAAATTCTAATCTTGACTGTACAAAAACGAAGCTTCCGAGGCGTCCAAAGAAATACAGACAACAGACGGCCCCCATACAAGTGTTGGAGTGGATGGCAATGGAGTCCCAGATGGATAAGAGGAGTCGAGGATGCGACGACAAAGAGACGAGTGGAAGGAGGACATTGACGTTAACAGACCGATATAGGTCCCTCAATTTGCATTAGCACAGCGTCAGAGCACAGATATTGAAGAACGTAAAGGAAATGTTTGTCATATAACCCAACAGTGACATGTTATATTATTATTACGATTATTATATTCAAACGTCTTTCTATCGTGATGCGAATGATGGGAGATTTACAAAAGGAGAAGAGGGTAGGAACGGAAGAAGGTTACAGTTCGGGTCGTGTATGAAACATTTGCTTGGCTCCGATATTTCGACCGCTTGCCCAAAGCACTGCGTGCTGTGACAAAAGTCAACGATGGCTGTCACCAGCATAAGTAGGTTTAACGAAGTAACTCACGGTTACAAATGAGAAGGAGATAATTGATAATAACCGTATAATCTGCCGATGTTTTCTGAACAGTCAGTAGAACGCCTGCTCGCGTGACCTTGACGCGACCGGATAGACCTAGTGGCAAGCAGGCAGGCATCTCTCAAGATAACTTGCGCGTATAGTAACTTCTGCTTGGTCAAATGACTTCCAGTGGGGCGACCCATGTCCGAACTTGTCACTCCGGCCCCTAAAGTGCTGACCGTAGTGACAAAACTTTAGGTTCCCAGTCCACTTACAAACGCCCGATCTTCTTTTTTGCCCTCTCCTAGGTTTCAAATTGGTTTATAAGTCTGCGTACTGAAAGAGGACCTGCTGAAGCAAAGTTTTTCTTTCTCCAGAAAACTTCGCTCCTAAAAATTCACTTATATGTTCTCTTTTTATTATCCCACCTACTGTGTCCATATTGAATTTGTTTTAACTTTATCAAAGTCCTTGGAAAGCTAATAGTCGCTAAGCTAGTCCAGAAATGTCTTGTCATGTACGGTAGACGAAGGTTGATTATCCTGTTCAAAAACACCGGACATTCGTCCTTATGCAGATTTCAGTACTTATCTTAGATGTTTAATTTCTGCTATAAATAAGCGCCTTGTAATGTAACGAGGCAGGAAAAACATATCGAAATTGTTCCTCTGGTTTGTGACGGCGTGTGGTCTTGTGGGTAGACACCAGCGTTTTGTAGAAATATGCTGTCTCCATTTTCATGGTTCAAGTTAGGGTGTTATGAAAGGGGGGGAAGATCCCCCCCCCCAAGAGCAGGGATTGAAGAGAAGTCTCCACTTATATATACCTCGCATATTTTCCGAAGGTTTGCATCCACTGGCCGAGCTGTATATGGTTCGTTCTACAAGAGATTTATAAAGGCAAATGGATGGATAATAATTCTATTGAGAGAAACTTTGAAGTGGATAGTTGATACGAAATATGTTCTTTTGTTCTGGTAACTAACTTGATCAGATTTTTCATGCTTTTCTAAACACAGTATGGACTCGGACTGTCGCATACCGGAAGAGTATTGGTTCCTGTTTGTCAGCACCGAATAATCAATAAAACTAATACCAAACATTGTTTTAAATTGCTTCGGAATGTTTGATTTTAATTGGTTATAGGTACACGGATTTTGGAATCTGTATTATCATTCCAATGCCAATAACTCGGTTTCTCTGCAATGTACAGGAAATCAGAATGTTGGATTTTGACATAACCATGCTTTTTAGTATCGTACCGAACTACAATATCAATCATTCAACATCCGTGGTGTTGAATTATTTAATATTTACGTCTATTTAACTACCGAACTGGAGAGCAGTGGTTTCCGAAATGCCAATTTACGTGACATTCACAAACAGTCCGTTTGGCAAAACAATTAGTTTACTTTGTCGACGACAGAAATGAATAGACTGGAGTTTGTTGGTATGGCAATAGACATTACTGACAGGGACTTGGAGTGAGGTTTTGCGTATGCGCAGAAAATACTCTCCTAAAGAAGACATGAGACCCTTCTTGTTTCCTTGTACGTATTCTTATATCCATTATTAGAGCTTCAATGTTCCTTGTAGTGTCGCGATTTAATGTTCTGTGGGTTGTTCCAGAACAATCGAAAGTTCGGCAGACAGGTGCTACCATTTATCTGTATGGCTTGAGGGACTTCTTCTTCTCCCACAGGATCATTAATTATGTGTCCCTGCAATTCAGGGCATGCCCATTTCTTCCCCCTGCACACAATAGTATCACAACCCCTTTGAACGTGAACAGGATCACGCCACTTAGATGACCGAAATATTACAAACTTTGAGCACCTTTTCCTTTTCTGTTGCGATGGGGCGAGACTCTTTCTGTGAATCTGCAGCCGCTAACGCGTCCATTGTCCATCCTGCAGACGGTGAATAAATTAATGAATATGGAGCAGCGGTGGAATGATAATGACAGGGGGAAACCGAAGAACTCACAAATCCAACATGGACTGACCTGGGTGCGAAAACAAGCCTCCGAGATGAAAATCCGACCTAAGCTATGGCATGACCTCCTTAGAGTACCTCAGTTTACGAGGTTAGAATCTCAGTTGTGGTTAAGATTATATAAAACATCTATTTCGTGGTTTTCTACAGTCCTGCCCGGACCTATAACGATCACTGATCAATTCTCTAACCATTCGAGAAGAATGAGATGGGTGATGAAAGTAGCACGCAGTGGGGCAGATGAGAAATGCATCTGAAAGAAGATACAAACTGTCAGACCTAGGCGTGGATAATATTAAAATTTATCTCAAAGTGTATAAGAGGGAGTATACGGAATTGATGTGTCTCAGGAGGGAATTTGCAATCAGTTATCGGGTTTAATAAGAAGCGGCGAATTTATTGGTTCGTTAAGTTACTAATAACTTCTTAAGAGAAACTGCTACATGTAATTCTGCAGCTCGAGAAGACTTTCTCTTACTCCTACAGGCGCATAACGGAGCATCACTTACTCCAGCATCTGAATAAGCGAGGCCGCTGTACAGATTACGAAGTTATCTCGTCTGCAAAGCAATTTCATCCGTCCTGCAAAACACAGTTAGCAGGAGAAAGAGCCTTATCATAAATATTGCAAAACAGACACCGACTTCAAAGAGTGTTATCTCCTTCAGTCATTAGGGCAATTTGAGCGTCTGCTTCGAACCATCTGTTCATGATAATCCACAGCTAATTCTTTGTTCTTCCACCAGAATGTTTTCACTGAAGCTTATTTGTCGCTAGAATCCAGTTCTAGAATTAATGGGCGTGTTTTTACCAAAGTTTCTCCTCTTATCTCAGTTTTTTTCCTTGATTTTTATTACAGAATACCCTACAGTGTGAACCAGCTTTAGTCACAAACAACTTTACATTCCAACTGGACAGGATGTTTGCTAGGGTTCGCTATTGTTATACTGAGCTGAAAAGGGCAAAGGGTTACAATAGAGGGATGTTTGACAAGGGAAGCGAAGAACTGAAGGGAAAAAGTGAGGAAGTTTTACTGTTGTTTTTTGAATGAAAAAAAATCCCCTTTTTCGTTAAGTGCAATTTTCTGTAGTTCTGTATTATACATATAAAAAGAGATAATAGCAGGTCGCATTGAGTAGATACATACATACATATATAATGATTGATTTATGGGTTGTAAGCGTGCTTCAACGGAGGAATAGGGGAACCTTTTTAAACGATAATGTGACTGCCAATTTCTCGATATCGAATTTTCAAGTAGCCTTCTCTTGATCGGTTGCAAACAGCGGGAAAATTCAACCCCTCCTCCCATTCGTGAAGAAAAAAAAGAACGAAACGGTAATGATAACTGGTTGAGATTTTAATTTGAATACCAACAACAAATTCCCATGCAATGCTAGGACACGCGATCCTTTGTAGAACACTAACAAACCATAGGAGTTAAACGGTTATGCCTATTCTTTGTGTGATAAAAAATTAATTTGGGCGTATTCGCAAAATATTTTTTAAAAAGACGTCTGTTTGCTTCGCCGTGTGTCTCTCAGCATATAACTAGAGAAGCATTGAACCGATTTTCACAAAATTTGATTATGTGAAGTTTAAAAAA